CGGTAGGCATCACGAAAAGATGTTTACTTTCCTTTATTTAATTTGCGTGCAGGAACTGAAATTCTTCTCTTGTATTGTTTTCACACCACAATTAATATATATATATAGATGTATCTCTAGCTTCATATGTTGATATAACGAAAAAAGAATTGCAGGAGCAAATTATATATATAGATTAGGAAAAAAAAAAGTAGGGTTATTATTTAAACAAAATGGCGCAAAAAAAAAGTGGTTATACATACAATAAGCAGCACAGCTTTCGGAAGCCGGAGCCGGAGAACGACGACGATCCCGACATTGTGGCCAACTGGGCTTGCGGCACCTGTGGCCTCCCGATCTTCTCAACCCCCGTCACGAGACGTTGGCACATGTCTAATCACGACGGGTGCGCGAATCTCCCTGCCATGTTGTCCCCGTTGTTGCATCCCGGGAAGTCCCTCATCCTCAACCGAGACCGCCAGTGGACTCCCAAAAAGTGTAGCAGGTGCGGGTGGGCATGTGAGGATGCCTTGTACGAGTGCCCAGACGTCGACGGTTGTGGGTTTAGGCTGGACCCAGTGTGCGCCCTCTCGGTCAAGGTGATGCACAGGAGCCACGAGCACAGGCTGACTGCCGTGAGAGGTTCGTTCTCCTCCAGCTGGTGCAGCGCGTGCGGGTCCCAGCACGGCGGTCACGTGGTGGGATTGTTGGACCAGTTCTATGTATGCGTCGACTGCGACTTCTGGCTTCATCCCGACTGTGCCAAACTTCCCAACGCCATCAGAGGCGGAGCGCTTCACGAGCATCACCTCTTGTTGTTTTATGTAGGGGGATTGTCCGAACGAGATAAGTTTCAATGCAATATTTGCAGCGGCATTAAGGAGGAAGAGGAGAAGAAGGAGGATTTCAAAGGTTTTGGGTTTTATGCTTGCTTCCATTGTGATTACTATGCTCATGTCAAGTGTGCCAAGGCTAAGAGTCCCAATAGACAACTCAGGACAGGTACGAAAATCAAATCATTATTAATGTTATTTTTTTTGTTCTTATATATATATATATACAAATCTGCAGTGTTTATCTATGATGGAGTCATTCCCAACACGATCCGCCTGCCAATGAAAGATGACCACGTGAGCGTGATGCCACTTTTAGTGAAGGCCCTCGACATTATAAATGTTCGTCGCTTTGCTAGTACAAGTATCGACAGTGATGGGGGCGGGCCTACTACCGATCTTGCTACTATTTCTTATGATCATAAGAGAGTATTAGACGAGCATGTTTTGATCCTTCATGATGGTGGCCGAAGTGATGTCGAGCGTGTATGCAACGCTTGTGTTCAACCCATTTCTTCATCCGATTCATTTTATAGTTGTGTTGATCATAATGAAACATCATCAGAAAATGGCGGCCCATGCAAAGATTTCTTTCTTCATAGTTGTTGCGCGTATCTCCCCGTTGTACTTAACTTCCCTCGAAAGAGACATAAAACACTCACCCTTTTGACTTGCAAGGCAGACGGCGAAAAGACTCCCTTCAATTTGTTCGAATGCGATGCCTGCAACTATACATGCAACGGATTCGCCTACTTATCCAAGGCGGACGACAACACTTCTCTTGTTATGGACATCGTGTGCGCCCTCATGCCCACCTCGATCATGCATCAATCCCACGGTGTGTACCATATCCTCCAATCTAAAACTTACAATCAACAACCGTGTAGCTATTGTGGCTCAGAATTAAAACCCGACACTAGCTACGTGTGCAACAATTGTCGCAACTTTGGGATACACCCAGCTTGTGCCCTCATTCCGGAAAAAGTTCTCTATCGAAAATTCGACCCTCACAAGCTTTGCCATCGGCGTCATCTTGAAAAGGAACAATCAATACTTTGCGAGGTATGTGAAAATAGAATACCAAGTGGGGAGTGGCACTACAATTGCACCAAATGTCAACAGTCATTGCACTTTAACTGCATCCCATCTGTGGATCGACTTTCTAAGATCAAGTTTGGGTTTACTGTCCGTGTACAAGGCCATTCATGCCCCGTCTCTTGTGTTCGTGCACTTTCAGTTTATTGCTACCCATGTGGCCATTGCGGGAAGACCATAAAGGAACACAACGACGACATTGCTTTCGAGTGCCCCAAGTGTTATTTTAGGATGCACAAAGACTGTTGTGCAGAAACACTCTTGTCAGATAAGGTTGAGTGGGAAGGGGTTGAATAAGCAATCTCTCTATGTGTTGTGTTGTTGCTATAATTGGAGTTGTTATCTAATAATAACTAAATTTTCTGTTATTGCATTGTTTGTGAAAGTCATATGGTCCTCTGCTCAAGAAACCAAATGAGAGAAAAAGATCTAAGATTTGTATATTAGTTTCAGCCAACTATAAAATATCATTTGTTTTCTATTAATATTCCAAGGAAGATATGGTGATTATTGTTGTAATAAGTGTTACATGTAAAAGGAGAAAATATATTTTGTGAGAGAACCTTGAGATAAAAGAATGTGGTTCATGTAAATGTTATGAGAATGGCTGGACTTGAAGATGAAAATGGCTCATTTCATAATGGAATTCGTGAAGAAGGGAAGAAGAAAGGTTGGGGAAGAAATGAATAGAGGCATTGACTAAATGGAGTGTTGGGAAGCTAATGAAGATCGTGTATCGTGAACTTGTTTTGCATAGAAA